CCTGGGTGGTGTCTCCTTGTGAAATTTAAGTCAGGAGACTTTGCACATGGGCTGTTACCATTGTCAGTCCTCGGAAGTTGGGCGCCCACCTGGGTGGTGTTTCCTGTAGTCCTTGAAAGTGGCTAAGTGATATCTGATTCCAGAGAAAGCCTTTCCCGAGGCTGTTCTCCAAATACCTGGAATGTGTATGTGATCAGTCCACACTGTTAGCTCTTAGGGAAAAGTCAATTGGGAAAACTATGAAGGTACACATGATTTTCCTAACAGAATACAGCTGATATATAACAAGCCAAGTAACACCAAAAACCCCTTGGGATTTGGCTTCCTCTGGAGGAATTCCCTGATTCCTCCAGGTAGTGACTTCGCCATAACCAGCTGAGTTCTTATGATATATTCCTGCGGGCTGCAGCAGGGAGTTACCCAAGGTGGTCTCCAACTCACTATTTAGCTGAGGATGACCCTGAATTTCTAATCCTCCTGCATCTGCAAGCTGAGTGCTTGGGATTAGTGTTACCACAGCATGTTTATGTGGTGCCAGGGATCAAATTAGGGTGTTCTATGCTAGGCAAGCACCGTACCAACTTAACCACATCCCCAGCCTGCTCTACTGATTTGACTGGTAAAATTCACCATATCCATTTAGAAGTAATCTTCAGCATTTATACTCAAAGGACTGTGAACATTGCCACTCTTCTCAGGACATTTTCATCCTTCAGATCTTCAATTCTGTTTGGGGTAGCAGTGCTGAAGATTTCACTTTTCAACTTCCCTTGCAGCTAAATAAAGCTTCGCAGTAAGTCCTAGTCAGGAACTGTAAGTAGAAACACTAGGAACTCTCCGGAAATGCCTTAGAGGGACACAGGCATCCCTTTGTCCTTTACTGTTTCCTTTGCTGGCTTTAATGAGAGGTGATTGTGGGCCTCTGGCAACCACTATGGCCTATGAAGTACATTTTGTGAGGCTGAGGCTAGCGGTGCAGAGGAGAACTTAGATCCCTAATAATAGATGAATCCAACTCTACGGTGCTTTGGAAAAGAAACCAGCTGTTCAAGTGGTTCATTCTGAGGGGAGGGGAGTTGTATATAGCAGGACCCCAATCCAACTTCATCAGGAAGGCTATCTACTTTTAAAAGCAGTTCCTTCAGAACTCCTTAAGAACCTCCCAAGTATCTGACTCGGTGATCATGAGGGGTTTACCATGGTCTGAATGTCTCTCCGAAATTCAAGCACTGAAAACTTAATCAGCAATGTCACAAGGTTGAAAAGAAGGGTCTTTGGAAGGGTTGGGCACTAGGTGGAGCCCTCACGAATGAAGTAATGCCATCAAGGGACTTGGGATAGCCTGGTCCCTTTTCCCTTTGGCCTCCCACAGCTCAGCAATGAGGCCCTCACTGTACCACAGGAGCTGCCACCTTGATCAGGACTTCCGGCCACCCAAACTATAATGGGTTTCCCCGGGAGAAATGAGGTGGGGGAAAGACAGTGACACAGAGGTACCCCGGTTCTTCAATGCAAGTTAGCTTCTCTCATTTCTATTACAAAGAGAAAGGACGGTTGCCACACTAGCTGTTGGTTGTTTTCCATTCCAGCAAGGGAGCAGAGACCATGGCAGGGCTAGGAGACAAGAGGGCTTTCCCTGCTATTTCTGCAGCACAGTGAAGGGACAGTGCAGGTAAGAAAGTGGAAGGGAAGAGGCCTCGAACAAATAAGAATGTTAGCAAGTGGAAATATGGTAGATGTCCAGATAATTATCGAAATTACTCCTGGTCCAGGCAGAAAGTGGCTCATGCAGGCATAGAATAGAAGTCAATATATAGGTATGGTTTTAAGTGACAAGGAAAAATGTTTAATAATAAACATTGCTGACAATTCTCAGTTCCAATATATATCAGAAAATAATGAACATTTACCCACACTTCTGACAAGTAGAGCTGAGCTGAGTATAACGTTACATATAGAATCCGCACTCCATGGAGTCATCACCACACTGACCTCCCCAACAGAATTCAGCACACTCCCCACTACAGATAAAGGAAAGTGCCAACAGGCCTGTCCTGAAGGTTACATCAGCACAGACTTAGTCTAGGATTTTCCTTAGTGCAGAATGCTAGGAGGAACTCCTCAGGCATAACTGCAGAGGACATGCCATTCTCTTCACCTGAGCCTCAGCAGGAGCAGTCAGGCCCCACCCAGCCCTGAAGATCCACCTTCTATCCAGCAGTGGTTGAGAGGCCCAGCGACTTATAAAGGATGGAGATGTCTTTTCCTTTGTCATACC